TTTGTAGAGACGTGGATGGATCTAGAGACTGTCATACAGAGTGAAGTAACTCAGAAAGAGAAAAACAAATATCATATATTAACACATATATATGGAATGTAGAAAAATGATACAGATGAACCGGTTTGCAGGGCAGAAGTTGAGACACAGATGTGGAAAACAAACATATGGACACCAAGGGGGGAAAGTGGCGTGGGGGATGGTGGTGATGGGATGAATTGGGAGATTGGGATTGACATATATACACTGATGTGTATAAAATAGATAGCTAATAAGAACCTGCTGTATAAAAAATAAATAAAATAAAATTCAAAAAAGGAAAAAGATGGAGTCAGTTTCTCCATCCCTAGGGTCTGGGCTGGCCTTGGGACTTGCTTTGCCAATAGCTTCTAGTGGAAGCATTGTGTACCAGCTCCAAGCTTCTCTTTCTCTCTCTCATGGACCCCTGTGACTGCCGTGTGAACAGGTTTGGGCTCTTCTAAGTAGGATAATGGAACATGTGAGGCAGCCCTAGGCCCCAGCCAAGGTCTCAAACATGTAAGAAAGCCCAGCTAATCTCCCAGCTGACTACAGACACATGAGGAAGCCCAGCCAAGATCAGCTGACCCTGCCTAGGCTAGAAGAACTGCCCAGCTGAACCCAGTCTAAATTGTCAACCAACACAGTTTACTGCACACATGGGTCCACTTACATGTGGATTTTTTTTCAGTAGATACATATGCACATGCACTGTAAGTGTATTTTCTCTTCCTTATGGCTTTCTTACTAACATTTTCTTTTCTCTGGCTTACTTGTAAGAATACAGTATATAATACATATAACACACAAAATTGTGTTGATCGACTGTTTATATTATCAGTAAGGCTTCCAGCCAACAGTACACTCTTAGTAGTTAAGCTTGCAGGGAGTCAAAATGGATTTTTGACTACATGGGGAGGTCAGGACCCCCAACCCTTGAATTGTTCAAGAGTCAACTATATCATGTAGTAACAACAAATGAACACACATGGTTTAATATTGAGTTGCTGGTGGGATATGAATTTTAGATACTAGAATTCCTCAGTGGCCCAGGAGGTTGCAGAATTTTAGGTTTCACAGCTGGATCTCAGAGGGCACATCTCTTGAGTTTTGTATTTAACTTGGTCTATCTGATTTCTTTCCTTCAACTAGACAGTTGGTTTCTTAAGAGAAAGGGCCATGTCCATTCCTCTTTCTACCCCACAGTGCCCAGCACAGAGCCCTATATGCTGTGAATATATGTGTTGGACAGATCAACCTTTCCCTCTATGGCCAAGCCTCCCTTCCTTCTGATTGGCTGGCACACAGTGGGCACATAGCTCTGCCAGTGAAGATGGTGTCTGCCTGGTGCAGAGTAAACAGGGAATTCAGGAAAAAAAACTATTTGAGATTTGGGTCATAGATATTTAGTGAAGAAAATGTCTGATGAGCTCAAGAGGAGTATAGAAATTTGTCCAAGGGTTTTCCTGGGGACACAGGGACTGCATGCAGCCTGACATGAAATTTGGTTCCATTCGTAGATTTTTAAAAAGTTTTCCAGGTTCCAATACAGATTACTTGAGATTTTCTCTAGGCTATAGAGAAGGAGAAAGCTTTGCAGGATGAACGGGGGAGCTGTCAGAAGCATTTCATATCAGGTATAAAAAGAAACCCTTGTGGATTTGTCTAATTATAAGAGTCTGTTTTTAGAATTTATCAGGAAGAATGGTAAAGAATATCCCGAGTTAACTCAAATATTCCAAATAATAGGTTATTATGTACTGAGTATTTTCTATGTATTGGTGACTATACAAAATAAACGTGGTTGCACACAACCTTATTTAACTTTAAAAAAACCTCTATAGCATAGGTATTATTATTCCCATTTTACAGAAAAGGAAAAACTAAGGCAGAAGGAGATGGTATCAGAAGCCAGGTCTACCTAAGTCCAAGTCTGGTTTGCTAGTTTATGAGCCCTGGAGCCTCTTGTGGGTTTGTGTTTCCGGAAACTCCATGGGTTTTGGCTTCCAGGAAGTAACACCATTGGGAAATCTCTTTTGTCACATCCTCCATGTCCCTCAACCAGGATTATCGTGGTCCATACATGGGGTCTCTCGGAAAAACTCAAGAGTTCCTGGGATGGGGTTTTGCAGCTGCTTGGGTTAAAGAGCTTGCCAGATGTGTGGAACAGAATAAAAATCCCTGGAATGCCGTCCCTGTTGGCACCATCCATCACTGTGGCACAGACGGTTCCTCCGAGGGCCTCCCCCAAACCCCAACCCTGTCAGCCTGCATTTGATGCTTCCATTCTGGTTGACAGGGCAAGCCCAGCAGAGACCCTTGCTGGCAGGCGTCAGGACAGCTGATGGATGGGCTCAGCCTGTGTTGCTGGGCAGAATCTAGCTGGCTTTGAAGAGGCATTTCTGCAGGCCTGTGGGCTGTCATGTCACCTGCTTTGGGGAGATGGGCAGAGTCTGTGTTGTTTGATGGTCACCTCCTCTGCCACCCGTTGGGGACTGTGGCCCAGGCCCATCTGCTCCAGCCAGGCCCTCACCATGTACTGTCTCCAGCAAGACCAACTCCAGTAGCAGCTTGCCCGTGGACTTGAGCACAGCATTTCCCTGGCCACACTGTTGTCAAAGCCGGCGGGGAATCTGACAAATTCCATCAAAGTACAACCCTCAGGTGAAATTAAATCAGACGCGAACAGGGCTGTTTCTAGAACCTAACCTGCTCTTTGCAGAAAGACCCAGCCACTACCTCTCACCCTGTTCCACAGCCAGAGGCTGACAGAACACCTCGAGATGGACTCGGGGGCATGCATGTGGCCTGTCCCAGGATCCCTTCATCTACTTAACCGAACTATCAGAAGCCCTTGGCAGGGTTCTTATAAAGCCCAGAAGCTCAGTATGTTAAATACCACATTTTCCACTCCTTACTAAGTGGCTTTTCAGCCTGTGCTCGAATACCACCAGTGATGGAGAACTCACTACCACTCAAGAGCCCAAAAGCCCATTCAGATTTTTTGACAACTATGATGATGAGAAAGTTCTTCCTGTTTGCAGATCAAATCTGACCCTAAAGTTTCCAATCTATTTGATTAAAGCTGAAGGCCTTATGGACACAAAGAATGTATCCACTCCCTTTTCTGTGAGGTCTGTTCAGTAGGGCCACTGCATACATTTGTTCGTGTTGTTCACTGCACAATCCAGGGTGTCATAAACTCATAGTCATTGTAGATGTCTTTTGCAACTTTCTGGCAGGTGGCAGTAAAGTTTCTTGAGGTAAATACTCCTGTTAACTCCCACAAAGCCCACCTCGTGGACTACGGGTGGGGCTCCTTTTCTTTTTTTTTTTTTTTTTTTTTGCGGTACGCGGGCCCCTCACTGCTGTGGCCTCTCCCGTTGCGGAGCGCAGGCTCCGGACGCGCAGGCTCAGCGGCCATGGCTCACGGGCCCAGCCGCTCCGCGGCATGTGGGATCTTCCCAGACCGGGGCACGAACCCGTGACCCCTGCATCGGCAGGCGGACTCTCAACCACTGCGCCACCAGGGAAGCCCGGGGCTGCTTTTCAAACACTTGAAGAGGGTGAGGTCCCTTGAGTGTTAGATGTCCTGTTTCTTCCTCTGTGCAAGCCCACAGTTCCGAAGCTCTGTCTCGTGGGCACCCAGACCAAAGCAGCCCCTTCAGTGGTGCCTGAGAAGTTCGCGCTGAAGGCTGGGGAGGGGGCATCTCTTCCCATCTCTTGGCCTTGGACCCACCCTGGATTCCAAGTATGCTGCTGGTCTGGCCAGCTGGGGGAGCCCCCTGAAATATGATTCTTCCAAGCAATTGAATTATATGTTGTTGAATTCAACACTCTCCTTTGCTTTGGGGAAAGACACTGATCCTTTCCCAGTCCCCACACCACGCTCATGTACATTTCTATCCAATTCCACAAACATTCCCTGAGCGTGCAGGGCAGGACAAGTTCCAAGCATCGCTTGCCTTGAGCCGGCACAAATCTGTCTGCCCATCCAGGACTTTGCTGCCAGAGAATATTGACTGTCAAGCTGAATTTGACCCAGTTATCACCTTCTTTGCTCCGAAGAGACCCTTGATCCAATGTTTAGACGCGACTGTGATCTCCATGTGCCTGGCTCTTGTCCTCTGTGGGTGACCAACGCAGGTCGTTACCAGTGGGGGATGTATCCTCTGCCCCAGTGAAATAATCAGTGGAGTTTTCTCCCTTGGGCCTCAGAGCAGCAAAGGGAGACTCAGACCCAGAGACAGAGACCAAGAGATGGACGATGTGGCAGGAAGGAGCAGCTCTGCTCAGCCCAGGCCCGGCTGAGGGCACCAGGCAGAGGAAGCGGGGCAGGTGAGAGGTGGCAGGTGTGTCTGTGAGAGAAGAGCCTGTGTGGAAGAACATTGAGGAGACACACCAGGTGGAGGAGCAACCCAGTGGGGGTGCTGGTGAGAGGCCATCAGCAGCGGTGGGCCAGCCGGGGGCTGCCTGTACAGCACCACCCTCTCAGCACAGAGGGGCTGGCTCCCCACCGAAGTGGGTGGAGAGAGTGGGGTAGCACAGGGCTGGCCTTCCTGGAGCCATTGTTCAAGACACCCTCACTTTGCCTTGGCCTTTTGGTCTCATTTCAGACACTAATGGGCTGTGTGACCTCGGGCAGGATGCTTCCCCTCTCTGGGCCTCAGTATCCTTCTGTATAAAATGAAGGGGTTTAACGGCTTCAGCAATTCTTCCCTTGGGGTCATGAGACTGGACATCAGGGATGTCCACAGGTACCTCAAAATTGTGTAAAGCACTGTGTGTGTGTGTGTGTGTGTGTGTGGACACACAAATACCCAGGAATGCATTTCTCTGGGAAGATCCTCAAAGCGGTCCGTGACACTTCTGAACCATTGGAACCCTGAGGTCACATCCACACTCACATGTACGGGCCCCCTTTTCTCCATCCCAGAACCAGCCTGTGGGGTTGGAAGCCCCAAGGGGGTCCGCACACTCACCTGGGTCCGGGTCGGTGAGTAAAGACAGGAGGGAGAACTGAAAAACAAAATGACACAGAGCAGAGCAAGGTTGAGTCCTCTGAGCAGGCCGGGTGCTTTCCTGAGCTCCTGCGAGCTGAAAGGAGCCTTCTCGGAGTCACAGCTGGGGCACAGGAGCACGGGGTACTTCCTGATGGCTGGAGCGGTGGTGTCGTGGATTGGAGAGAGAGGGGCTGGGGCCTATTTGACGATGCTCCCCACTCTTCCTGTGCTGGCTGAGTGATCCAAAGCGTCACTCTTTCTCCCCAGGGGTGATGTGTAGTGCTTGCTCTTACCTGTTTCCATGCTGGAACCTGGCCGCCCAGGTACTGACCGTCTTGTCAGGTACAGTGATCAGCATGTATTGTGCATCTCCTCTGGCCGACTACACATTGCTGCATTTAACTCTTCTAACAACCCTATGAAGAGGCTTTATCAGCCTGTTCACAGATGAGAAAGTTGAGGCTCAGAGGTCACACAGCCGTGAGAGGATTCGGATTCATGCCCAAGTCTAGTGATTGTCTCAGGTGACAGTTCCTTAAGGTTGGAGATGGACAGATGCTTAAACTCTCCAATTACTTCCCACTGTTCTTGGAATAAAATACAAACACCAACTATGACCTGTAAACCTCCTCCCATACCCCTCTCTCCTTCCGCTCTTTACTAATCTCCAGCCACACCTAGGTTCAAAATGACACTAGCCAAGCTCTTTCCACCTCAGGCCCCTCTGCCTAGAAAGCTCTCCACCCAACCCCTCCAATGACCATCACTGGGTCTCAGCTTAAATGTCACTTCCCTGACTCCCCTATCAGTATGACATGCCCCCATTGTTTTGTCTCTGCACCCATTCATTTCCTCCATGGTCCCCATTACAGCTTGTAGTTTTGTATGTTTATTTGCATGTTATCTGTCTCTCACATCAAACTCTGCCCTCACAAGAAAGTGGAGGCTCTTGTATGTTTCATCACTGAGGTATTTACCCAATATTGAGCCAGTGCTTGGCACATGGCATGCCTCAAAAAGTTTTGCATAAAAAAGTAAATAATGATAGGAATAGTGTTTTTCGTGGTGGTGGTAGTGTTTTTTGTTTTTTTTACAATGCAGTACTTACCAGAAAAAGAAAGTTTTACCTATTTAATAGCTGGAATATTTTCTTTCACTTACATCAGATGTCAGCAAAGAAAGGTCCTTGAGCTGAACCTGGCAGTTGTGTTTTTGCCAATAAAATTTTATTGGAACATGGCCACGCCCACCTGCTTACACATTGCCTGTGTCTGCCTTTGTGCTGCAACTGCAGGGCGTTTGTTGACACAGAGAGTATAATCCCAAATATCTCCTATCGGGTACTTTACAGACCAAGTTTGCTGACCTCTGACTTGGAAAACAAGAGTTCTATCTCCTGACAGGGTTCCCTTTGGGTGGGTCTCGGTGACCAGGAAGCGGCCGTCGTCAGTGTGATGTATCTTCCTCACACCCAGTCTAGGCAGTTTGGTATATTTGCTTCCTCTACCCTCAGCAGAAGTTTTAATTTTCTGTTTTACTGTAGCCTCCTCAGTCATTTTTGGGTAAAATGGTAAAAAGAAAGAATGCATCCCGACGTGATGTACGCACAATAGGGCACAACATCAACGTGTAGTATTCTGGACAAAAATGCTTATCCTAAATCTACTCGTGAGCAACGTGACAGGCCCAAGTTGTGGGCTTTCTACAAAATAACTAGCCTCGACTCTGCAAGATTGTCAGTGTCATAAAAGGCAAAAAAGATGGGAAGACTGTTCTTTATTAAATGAGGCTAGAAACACCTGACAACTAAATGCAGCGTGGGTCCTTGATTGGATCCTAGATTTAAAAAAAAAAAAAGAAAAGAAAAGCCCTAAAGGATATTATTGGGACAATTGGGAAATCTGAATATAGATTTATGTCAGTATTATTTCGTTAGTGTTGAATTTCTTGAGAGTGATCATGGTGGTGTGGTTTTGTAGGAACACGTCCTTATTCTTAGAAGATGCTGAAGTAGGGAGGGAGATGTCTGCAATTTAGGTGCAAATGATTCAGCAAACCAACCAACCAACCAACCAAACAAGCAAAACAAATGTATATATCGGGTTGGCCAAAAAGTTCGTTTGGGTTTTTCCCCAATGCATAAGAGATCATGGCAGAAAGCAACTATGGCAAAGGTTCTGTGTTGCATCTATCTGGGTGAATGATAATCAGTGAATTATTCTTTCCAGTTTTCTGGAGGTTTGACAAATTACAAAATAAAAAGTTGTGGGGCAGAAAGTCATGCAAAGAAAGGGAGAGGGGGCTTCCCTGGTGGCTCAGTGGTTGAGAGTCCACCTGCTGATTCAGGGGACACGGGTTCGTGCCCCAGTCCGGGAAGATCCCACGTGCCGCGGAGCGGCTGGGCCCGTGAGCCATGGCCACTGAGCCTGCGCGTCCGGAGCCTGCGCTCCGCAACGGGAGAGGTCACAACAGTGAGAGTCCCGCGTACCGCAAAAAAAAAAAAAAAGAAAGGGATAGAAGCCATCTGTTGTCTGGACAGTGACTATTTAAATGCATCACTATTGCCCTGCCCTGTTTATGCAGGAAATAGACAAGGGGTGGGGATTTTGTTTGGTGGGGGTTGGTAGTGGCAGGCAGAGTTGGCAGAAGAAGGGCAGGTTCAGGTCTCAGGGTGTTTCTGGGGCTGGGGTGCTTGAACAGGGAGCAGCTGACGTTGACACCTCTGGGCATGAGTGGCAGGCAGGTGACAGAGAAGAAGCATGAGGGGACCCTGAGGACAAATGTTACACCTCCTTCAGTCTCTCCCTCGTCACAGCCAGTCCTGGTCCTTTGCCTGCCTCATCCTCCCTCCATAAAGCTTGTGTGGACGTCAGGGCCCGTCACTCTCTACCTGTCTTCATCCAGCCCTTCAGGACCTGAGCCAGGGCGAGACCCCCAAATCTTAGCTGGAAACTGGAGCTTGAGGGAGAGTCAGGTGCTGCGCTGCCCACAGCCAGCAGGTGGCAGACGTGCCCTTCCCAGGAGTTGGAGCTGGAGCTGGGGCTCAGACGGAAAGCAAACAGAAAGAAAACAGGACCTTCCTGGCCTGGGGCACCTTCAGATCCCATAGGCTCTCAGGGGGTCTGAAGCAGCTGCTGCCCAGCTGTGCAGCCTGGGCTGCATGTCAGGGTGTCCCAGGGGTCGGAAGCAGACCCACTCATTTTGTGGATCACTGGATCCACCCTCAGAAAGAGGCTGTGGTGAAATGTGGACACCGGCAGCCCAAACACCAGGCTGGATATTGGGGGACCAAACCGGAAAGGCTAGGACAATAGCCAGTGATTTATGCCGTATACCTGGATCCTGAAACTAACCTGGATGATGGCGGGGGGCTGAGGGGGATGGATAGACACAATATCTGCCTCCTTTCATCCCATTATTCCATTCCAGTTTTCAAAAGAGACAGGGAAGTAAGAACTCCTATGCCTGGGACTTACAAATCTAAATAGGAAGGTCATTGATGCAAAAGAAGTAGGAAGAGGCGCAGGAAGGGACAGCTGTGATCTCAGCTCGCATTTATTAAGACCAACAGTTGCCAAGGACTGTGCTAAATGATGTATGTGCATTTTGTCTCTTTTATTGCACAGAATCCTTGATAATTGAAGTACTATAATTATGCCCATTTTAGAGGTGAGAAGACACATTTGCAGAGATTAAATTGCCCAAAATAACTCAGCTAGTAAATGATAGAGCCAGGCCAGAAAAGAGCCAGTCTAACACCAGAGCCATTGCTGTGAGGGATGAGGGACCCACAGCCTGCAAACATGGTGTTGAAAAGATAGAGAAGGAAGTGGGAGAGCTACTTAATGCTAAGAGAAGCAGGACATTGAGCCCGGTGAAGAGATTGGGTCCTTATTCTTGGAAACCTTTGGGAAAATCTTGTCCAGAGTTGCCCAGGCCTGGGAAGACACAGAGAGGGCCACTAGGTCCCATGGACATCTGGGGAAGGGACAAAGTCATCTGCAGCCTCAGCCAGTCCACTGTGACAAACACATCTCAGCAAACATCTTCACCCAGATCAGAAGGCACACGAGCCACTGCCTGTTTCGTCTACCACATTTATTCCCAGTCTCACCAGGGATGAGGGGTCACAGCTGCCTCGGCTCCTCTTAGAGGGCTGGGAATAGCAGCTTCTTGCACATGGAAAGGTAGCTGCTTTGCAATAGATTCAGAGAGACCTCTCTAGATGCAATTGCTGGTCCATCTACAATCAGGCTTCCACAGTGGACCCGTGGCTCAGGACTTTGGCCTTCCCCAGTTAGAAGCAAATTATTAGCAATGTTCATATCCCACCCCCCAGCCCAGTCACCAGGGAGCGTGTCTCACGATCTGGTGTCTTCTAGGCTCAAGGTGGTTGGTGGGCAAGGCAGGGAGGGGCAGAGAGAAGGATCCTGCTTCAGAGTCTTCCTGATTTACAGTGTAATCTCCTCGAGGGTGGAGGGAGTTGAGGTCTAATCTCTTCTGTCCTATCTGTATTCTAGTAATTATTTCAACTCAGGTTCTTCCTCCACCTTTCACAATTCTAGACCTTCTTGAAAACAAAACAAAAAGGCAGAGGCTAAAATCTGCCTTGATGGGTTCCAGGAATTAACTGATAGGAAATATTCTCAGAGGACTGGGAAGCAGTAGAGGGGAGAAGTGGGGCTAGACCTGACCTTTGGGGCTAGAAGCTTGACTTAGAATGAACCAATAGCAGAAAAATCTTTCACCTGGTAAGTAAGACATTGGGACTCAAATTCCAGCCATCTCTTTCTCTGCAGTTATTCTGCCATGACCGGGTGGTAGACCAGATGTCACTGCACACCAGGAAAAGATTTGCATTGCTCCTAAAGGTAGCTGGGGAGGAGAGAACTCTGCACTGTGGCCAGGTGAGGGTGAGGCTGCTGGGCTGGAAGGCAAGCCAGGGATAGGACTGCGCAGCTCAGCAGAGCCAGTCCCCACTGCTGGACACAGCTCAAGGTTAGGGTGAGAGGCGGA